TTCATTGTCAGCTTAGCATGTGGCTCTCTAAGCTGTTCATTTATTACTTGTGCAGGCCTTTTAGAGGTGTAGTGGCTTTTAAAGACTAGTAACTGCCACAGCCGGCGACACAAAACTGTGTTGTTAGCTTAGCCGTTGCTTACCATCTACAACTTATTTGTTGCTTCCCTGCTGAAAAAAACAGCACAGACCAAGATGCATTCCAAGCTGGTCTATGCAGGTTTATGTTGGTCTGGTTTAGCTGGCCACCCAGCATGGTCATACCAGCATCCAAAACACAACATATGCTGGTTTTTCTAGTAGGGTTGTGGGGGTGGTCTTCTATTGAGATAGGCCTTGTAGGTAGTGAGCTTATGCAGATGGCTTTTAAAGGCTAGCAACTGCACAATAGGCTTAAACTGTGTTCATCTTTATTTTAGTTCATGGCTCAGTATTAAGCTTCACTACTTCCGTGTACATTTGGTTTTACATTGAGACAGACCTTGTATGTTGAGGTGTGAGCTTTCAAGCACTGCACCCTGTGACACCATCTCCCAAAATAAGCTGTTGACCTGCGGCCTGTCAGAGTGGTGCTCAGTCAGAGAGAGTGTGAGAACACCAGCAGATGGCAGTGGGGAGCGGAAGCAACAGCCCTTGCAATTTTGATGCGATGCGAAGTGAAAACCCTCATCTCCATGGAACATTTTAACGACAGCACCCAACGCTAGCTCAGCCCTCATTTTTTCCCTATAAAGGCATGTGAATTAGTCGTGTAGCTTGAGTGGATTTCTCTGTTTCTGGTATCAGAGCCACACTTTCAGAAGAGCTCTCTGTGTTTCTCTGCTTTCCCCCATTTTCCCCTTGATTTGCACCAAATATGCCCATTATATGCTTATCTAAAAGCTACTTAAACGTCTTCAATTAAACAAAAGGGGAGTTCTAAAAAAAATAAAACAGGTTGCCTACAGTAAGTGTCAAAGCAAGAATATGGTATTAAACACTGATTTGAGAATCTTTACTAATCTTACAATCTAAGCTAAAAAAAAAAGTACCAAGAGAATGTTGTTTGACTGAATATCAGAACCCTTTTTGACATGTTTAAATGGTTCCACGTACAAGTACAATATAATAATGATAACAAATGAAAATAACCAAATAACTGGTCAACAAAACCTTGTGGAGATGAGTGTATCATTATTAGAATGGCACATGTAAAAAGCACTATTTTCAGAACTACAAAGAACCATTTAAGTATTCAAACAGTTCTTTGAGTTGTCATGCTTCTATATATAACCATTGCCTTTACTGAAGAACTCTTTAAGAACCTTGTCTTTCAAGACTGTAGGAACTTCTCCCTTGGCTAAGAATTCACTCAGAGGCCAGTACAGTAAAGAGGCAGGCCATTCTTCATCCTCTCTTGATTCCTAGTATGCCAGGGCTGATGGCAGAGTCCTTGACAACAGAATGCATGAGAGGGGATCAGCTGCAGCGTGGAGGAGACTGATGAATAAACAATCGTCAGAGCCCTGCAGCCCTGTAAGCTGTCAGCACGAGCCGAGACACAAACAGCCATGATGAGCACACGCCCAACGCCAGGCCAAGGCCGCGTCTCAGCTTTGTGCTGAACTCCAGGCTGAAGTAGGCTGAACACACTGACCTTCAGATCCTGCTGTGGAAAAGCTTCAGTGAGCAATTGATCTGGTTAGGAAAGTGGCTTTAAAAAAAAAAGAAATACCTTGAACTCTGGGGTCAAATTCCCTTGCTAAACATAAACCCTAAGCAATGGTGGCTCCAGTCCATTAGTGCAGTTATACACTTGCCAATAATTGTGTTGACATAATATATATTATTCATGTGGAAATATGTGCACATCCAAATCAGGTAAATTCATCATGTTTTGTATTGTAGAAGGTAAAAATGACAGCAAAGTCGAGAACGTGGTGATAAAATACATTTATTGGAAACAGTGGCAAATGTATAAAAGAAACAAAATGGCTGGCTTTGGGTTAGGTCACAGCACAAATCACATGTACTGTACAAAGATCAATGCAGCGCTTTCATGTCCTATCAAAAAGAGGTGGGTGTATGTACGGCACGATACATGGAACAAAATGCAGGTAGACACATTTCACTTCCTTCCCATAAATGAAAGTAAAGGGGGCATGTGAAGTCCATCTGCAGACTTAAAGGGGCAGAGACAGAGTCAGTGTGGGCAGTGTATAAAAACGACTCGCTGCAGTTCTTCTTGCTTTCCTTTTTTGTAACACACCATGTGGTACATAGGGGTCGACAGTTAATCGCATGCACTTACAGTATTTGCGTGGCTTTACTGGTGAAAAAAATGCGACTTGATCCCTGAGCTCACAGAGAAACACAACAAAACAAAAAACAAGGGATAGACTATTTGAAATGTTCAGCATGACTCCAACACTGACATGTTGTTTTCATTGTCATCCCTATCAGTTACATGGCGCAATCTATTTAAAACAAATGTCAAGACAGATGCTATCTCACAGGATTAACATGGTGTTTCTTGTGTGACAGACTGCAATTCTACACCAGATACGAGCTCTGAAATACGTAGCTACTGGCGTATTCCCTACGATCATGTGACTAATCATATGTGTATATTTTTTTTGCTGCACATTTCACAGTAAGATAAGCTTTCAGTTCAGGCAACATTTTCGTTCCTGACAGCTTCGGCATTTTTCAGTCAGTTTATACTGATGACAAAGAGGAGCTGACACTGGTCAGACAAATACTACAGAAGAAAATGTGAGAAAGTATGAATTTAAGGGAAGTGGGTAGCTGCAAACAGGCATCATATTAAGAGTGGTGACTAAAAACTGAGATGAATTTAGGAGAGTATCATTTTACTATAGGGCAGTGTCCATAAGGCGCATGACATCTTGACATGACAACTGACATAAATCTACATAAACATTTATAGAGGCTTTTTGCAATAGGCATCATATGTCGTAAAGGTTTGCTTTGTCAAGTTGATCCAAAGTTGATTTTTTCTGACATTGGGTTCTGTCATGATGGTTTTTGGGTCAAAACATCTGACTTTGTAGCTCTGGGTGCATCAGCTTGGCATGATGCTGATGATGTGACCTAGTTTAAATCTTGTAATTGGTAAAATGAAACTTACTCTACTTAAGAGCCACAGAAATTCTCTCTTTTGTTCAACCAGCCTGACTTGGCAAGCTCTGTCATTGTATTATCATTATGTCACTTAAACGTCTATGCCATTTCACCCCGAAAGTGTCACAACACAACCTAAATGTCACCAGGCAGATATTATGACAAATGACACCTACTAGAATAAGTGTTTATACATGATTCTGTAGCAGAGTTGTGCACGGGACCTGAGTACTCTGTTAACTGTTTAAGGTGAAAGTATTCAACTACTGAAATCTCTTTTTGGGCATTCATTGCATTTCATCATGGACGGATGGATGGATAGATAGATTTGACATTTAGATAAAATACATAGAAGAGTGCATTCATACAGAACTTATATACCATTTAAATAAGCCGTAGGCTTATTTCCATTGTGGTCCTAATAAAGGATTTTTTTTCCTTGGCTATTTTTCAATAAAAATACGTTTGTAACGTATCCCTCTTCGTGATGCTAATTTTTTGTGCAGCAGCACTGCTGTCACCTAAAGAGGTAAGTACACAGCTCTTTGTGAATTTCAGGAGAAATCTGTTTTTTCCCTTTTTGCAATTTTTTTCCTTCTCTGCAGTTAGCTGGATATCCATTCATGAACTCTTTTAAATACTTAAACATCAAAACTGGTAACAACGCACACCCCAATTATGTAGGTCTATGTCAGTTGTCATATAGGTGTCATGTAGCCTTATGAAGACGGCCCTACAGTAAAGAGTGCCTTTAAAATGTGAGACTTCAATGCTGATGCTCAATGACTTTATTTACGATGTTTAAGAACTACCCCTCCCCTCATGTATGCTGTTATACTAGAACTGCTTGAATGATTCAGTGCAACATAAAACTGTAGATCAATGCATAACTGAGACTTAATAAGGCCATTGATTTAGATGTGCACCTCGCAGGAAAACACTATGTGCATATCATGTGCGGTTCAGAATGCATGCTAGTTGGGTACCTCTCTTCATGATCTGTCACCATGGTAACTGACAAAAGAGTATTTGTTTAGCTGTTTTTATGGCTAAACATGAAAAAAAGAAACACTCAACATGGCTTAATGGTGAAAGACAACACTCTTTCAATATCTCCATAGTCAAGAATAGTCAGGGATCAGACTTCAACTGGTTCTGGGGTTCTTTATAGAAACTTTTGGCAAATCTAAATCTTGACCTGATCCATGAAATTCATAGTGACTTGATTTAATTTGCATCAACTCCACATTTTCTCAGTGACAATTCACAGCTTGTTTCCTTTCGTGAAAATAAACATCATTTTACAGTGCTGGTGTGATCACCGTTGGCGAAAAATCTAGAATTATTATAAATCCCTCCTTGCGCTAAACCCTCAACAGGTATGTAAATACATGAACATGAAAGCATGTTACCACATGCACATATGTAGCGTATGCACACAAACACATGCACTCAGACACACACTCACTCACACTGAAGTAATTGCACATTATGTAACGTTACCCAAGAACAGTTAAATGTACAAAAAAATCAATTGTCTTTCAGAATGATTAAAAAAAAATTATCTTGCGGACAAAACATTTTAAACAGGCTAAACTGAGGAACGGACACAAATGAATAGAGTGTGAGAAGCAAAATATGGTGAAATCTAGGATTCGAGAGGAGATTTTTCAAAGCCACAAAGTTCTATTTAGTGGTAAAAGTGACAGTTTTGAGGTTTTGGGGAGAGTGCAGATGACAGCCACAGCGGAAGGACTACACAGTAGTTTAGTTCAGAGGTCAGAGGGCCTTTTTTTGTTGGGAACAGCCCTGGGCTGGGACTACACAGTAGTTTAGCTTGGGAGAAAGAAACAGGCTGTTAACCATCAGTTACAGGGCTACACAGTGGTCTCGTTTTTCCACGGCCCTGTCCTAATGTTACCTGTGGCATCTGAGCTGAAGGCGTAGTCCTCATGCAGGCTGCCATTGCGGCTCAGCGTCCCTCTGCGGCTGAGGGTGCCCTTTCTGCTGAGAGTTGCCTGAGAGCAGGACAGGGCGGCCCGCGGAGGGGGGATATCCAAGTGCAGCACGACGTCCTCCTCTTTATCAGCCGTTTTAGCGCTGCTGTACATTAGGGAACTCGGGTCAGCATCCTCCGGCTGGCAAGTGCTGGCAAAGGGGTCTGCTTTGGGGCAGCAGAAGTTGGAGAAAGGGTCAGCCTTGGTACAACAGGTGTGCCTGTGGCAGGTGTGTCCATCGTGTCCGTCCAGGTCCAGGTGCACGCTATGGCAGGATATGCTGTCGTGCAGGCTGTGCGAGGCCAGGCCCTCCAGGTGTGGGCTAGGGCTGGGACAGCGCAGCTGGTTCTCCGGATGAGGGCTGTGGCAGGACAGCTGGCTGTCCAGGTGTGAAGTATGGCAAGTGAGCGGGTTGTCTAGGTGGACACTGTGGGGACTGTCCAGGTGCGAGCTGTGCACACTGCCGTCCATGCTGGTGGAAGCCATGTGGTAGGCGTAGTCCCTGAGGCAGGGGCGTGGCCTGTTGAAGGAGCGTGACTTAGTTCTATCCTTCAGGCAACTCTGAAGGGGGAGAGTGGGCCGGGGCAGTTCATCAGGAAGCGACTGAGGGCGAGAGGAGCCGCCTAGCATGGGGGATGAGGTGTGCAGAGCAGCGCAGCAGGTACTAGCATGGTTCTGACTGGAGGGCAAGGTGCCAAGCTTGCAGTGGGGTGAAGAAGTGTGGAGGTGAGGGGAGAGTAAAGGTTTAGCAGGGCAAGGCGGATCTGCTGGACAGTGGATTTGAGTCTGGCTGTGGGAAGGAGGGGTGTGGCTTTGAATTTGAGTAACAGCATTGCCTGCTGCCTCTCCATTCACCTCAACTTTCGGTTTGGAGGGACAGCAGGCCCACCAGCGATGCCACACATCATCCCGTTTGGCACAGTGCTGGATCAGCAGGAAGAGCCCCAACGTGACAGAAAATGCTCCATACAAGCAGCTAAAGATCATGTCCAGGAAGTGGCCCTGTGATACAGCCAGTGCCCCGAAGGCCCACGTGGCAAGGAAGAGGAAGAGCGTGAAGGCGGTGGCCCGCAACTGGGCCTTAAAGGAGTGCTCATTGGCCAGCATGGAAGCAGTGATGGCTGTGCAGCCTGAATGGTCCCCATGTTCTCCGTGCTCTCCGGCGTGGCAGTGGCCCATCTCAGCAGTGGCCAGCCGCTGCTGCTCTTCGGTCATAGCCTTCAGCTCATACTTGCGCTCAGGGTGTCGCTTCAGCTGCACAAATGTGCACAGGAAGTACACACACATCACCAGGACCAAGAAGGCAGTGGGGCCATAAAAGCCTCCTAGACTTGGTTCCCACGCCATCCAACAACTGAAACCACAGAGAGAGATTCAATTACAAATACATTCTATATAAGCTTCTACAGTCCGGTAATGATGAAAAATCTGATCATGCAGTCAGCAAGATTTGTGGCATCTTGTCACAACCTGAGGGAAAACCAGTGAAACAAAACACCACTTAACTATAAAAAAAGGTTTAATGTAAAAAACTTCCTTTCAATTGTATTATTTCTATTATTCTTTTTTATTTGTTTACTGTTGATTTCTTTGGCAAAAATGTAACTCATAACAGTTGAAGGGGTAGAGATTTAGAATATATTTCTTAAGCTTAGAGATATATTACATTAGCTTTTGTGTCTCTATGAGATGTGGCATGTTTGTATGGTACTTCTTCGAGGACATAATAGTGTGAGATAAGGACTTGCTTAAGCCAAACTCTCCAAAACTATGCTACCAGATATGTCCTATGGTAGTAGAACCGGGTGAAAGGTGGAATTGTGGAGATTATTCGGGGATCTTCAAGGTCATTAGATTAGATGCACATGATGGACACTATCTTTGTTGACTGAACGGCAAAGACATTGTGTTTAGTTAATGTTTAGGTAAAAAATTATATTGTTTTGGCTATGTAATGACGAATCAGCAATTTTTTGCATAGTTTGTCTAACTTTACATCAATTCACTTGCATTAAAGTACAACTGCTTTGTCCAAGGTGGGGGGAGACACTTGAAGGTGCTCTCACCCTCATCTGTGTCTCTTACATTTGGCTCCTGGAGTTTTAAGATCAATATTTACTTTAGTTAACTCTTTGTGTGTGAGGTTATGTGCTTGTGTGCTGAACCATGTGTGTATGTGACATTTATTCTCTATTTTTATCTACTTTCTTTTTATCTAACACTTTCATGTCAACAGAGCACTGTTGAACTTGAGAAGAATAGAGAGAGAGAGAGAGAGAGAGAGAGAGAGAGACACAGAGAGAAAGATCAACAACGCAGTCAACAATGTCATTAGAGCTCTCCTTTATTAAATCACATGCCACATGGAAATTTGTCTTACTAATTAAGATATGTCTCTCAGAATCAGTGATGCTTGCGAGGATTTTTTTACTGCCTCACTTTGAACTCATCGTTTAAACACATTACAACAGATAAACACGGTCCAAAGGAACAAGGGTGCTGACTTAAAATCCAACGAAGGTTTTTAGCTGTTATCTACATGCACCAGTGACCACCATTTCAGAGCCCCAGTTATAATTATCATTTTGAACAAAGTGCTTAACAACAAATGCTTTGAACAAATGTTAAATGGAGAGCAAGGGAGGCAGAAAATCAATGTGATCTCTCGTGATCTCCTGCTAGTGCTGGTGAACCGTGTACTTACTAAGGGGCATCGTCTCTGCTCCCGTAGTTGTCCAGGCTAACAGCAGCTGTGACCCCCACAATAATGAGGGGGACCCCACCACTGACCACATAAAATCTGAAAAGCAGACAAAAAGAAGAGAATGTGACAGGACAGTGGGCGAAATGAGATAACATAACAAATATTCTGGATATGGGTGGACGAAGGCAAGGAGACAGCAAGAAAATGGGCTTCCTCTTATCCTCACTAAAATTGATTTGTCTCTGAAAACCGGCCTGCTATAATGAGTGACAGCACACAGAACTCTGCATCACTCTGACACCTGCTGCCGTTGCCCCGGTAACTGCCTGTCACCCCTGCTTTGTCTTTCTCTGCTGCTGTCTTGTTTCTTGAATTTTTCCTCGACATTCTGTTTAAAGCTACCTTTCTCTATTATTATTCACTTATAAGGGTGTGCACTTTTATCACAGGCTAAGCTATAATCAGTCTTGAAATTACACAGCGCAGATGAAACCTGGAAATATTTCACAGCCATTATTTGAAATGTGGGATGACAGCCTTTCATTTAACTTAGGTGATAACATTATTACTTTAGAAACACTTCGTATGTGCCAGTTCAAGTGCGTGAAGACATACACACTCCTCTTGAAATCTGAAATCATCCTAACTTTAGACAATGTATCTATCTTCTTATGAAATTGTACTACAAATATCATAAAGTTTTACTTGTTTTAAATAATTATTATGCAGTAAAATTAATGTAGATTATCTAGATAACGGTTATTTCTTAAACAAGTTAAATGTATAGAATATATACATTTATATATAGAATAATCTTATAACAACCTTACAACAATCTCACAATAAAAAAAATGAAACATATTAACTAGATTTCACTTGCCAAGATTTCATGTTATGTGATGCAACAGTCTCTGCACAAAGTCTTGGTATCAGAGTTTATCTAAGGAATCAAAAGGCTTACAAACTATATTTTTTCATTTTCAGTCTGAACACCATGTTGGTCCTTAGAAGTCTTGCAAGTTCAACTGAAAGATACAGTAATAACTGAGTGTTCCGCTTACAAATAAATGAGGTATGGAAGCTCATTCCCTTCAGGCAAAGAAAAAAAGCATCCGTCAATGATTTTTTCCTTTTCTGCTTCTGGCAGCATTATGTCAAAATTCACTTAGTAATGACTTATTTTCTCAAAACAGTGACTTTGTATCTTGAAATATTTGCCTATTTCCTCACTATATTGACTTAGTATCTCAAAATAATGTATTATTTTATCAAAATATTGATGTTCTATGTTAAAATACACTGTTAGAAGGTGCTGTGCAGGTACATTCTTTTGTTCATCAAACAATGTAAATGTACCCTCAAAGGTACTACAGTAGTTTTAAGGTCCAGTTGTGTACCTCAAATACATTTTTCCAGGTGAAAAACACGTATTTGTACATTTTCATGACCTAATGTTTTAAAACAGAGCAATAAAATAAAAAGCCTGGAGACGAGATGGGGTGTGTGGAGTCAATACAACTTAGAAAACACAATGTCAATGGATTATGGTACAATTATGTTCCCTGACTAAAGATCCTGAGATGTACCCTTAAAGGTTCCACCCCAGTGATAAGAGGGGCACTGCCTTAGTGACAGTTTTGTACCTTTTTTCTGAGAGTGTAGTCTCTTGTAATGACTCACTATGTCAAAATAATGACTTTTCTCAAAATATTGACTTACTATGTTGAAATAATAATTTACCATGTTCAAATAATGTCTCATAATAATAACCTATTATCCTGAAATAATTACTTTCTTGAACTTTCTTTAACTCATTATTTTGACATAGTATCTCGATCTCAAGAAAACGTCTTTATTTCAAGATATGAAGTTAATATTTTGAGAAAAATAAACCATTTTTTTGAGATATCAGGTCAACTTAAAAAAAAAGATAAGTAACTATTTTGATACACTATGATAATACTTTAACATACTGCTGCCTGAAAAAGAGAAGTTAAAAAACATACAAACCACAAAACTATTTTTTTCTAAACTACCTGGTGGGAATAGGCTTCCGACTGAAAAAAAATTAACAAAAGACTAAACCCTTTTTTATAATAAATAGCTAAAGTGAATCCCAATGCTACTAATAGTAGATAAACAGTGTGTGATTTCTGGGCTGCGTCACTGAGAGTATAAATATTGGATCCAGTCATCGTGCTGTTTCCAGTGGGGACCAGGTGAGGTCAGCTGTGTCACTTCCTGATCGTTCTTGCGCGGTGGATAGCAGGATGACATGATACACGCACCTTAATGATGCAAATCTAAAGCGTGTGGTGCAAATACCCATATTGTATGTAGGAGCTGCCCAGCAATGTTTTGTGAACATGTTAAATGGAATATAAATCATCACAATCATTCAGAACAGCAGTACACTTTCCCCACATAATAAAACTAAAAAGAATTTAGTTACGACTTCCTCCGTCATTAGTTGTTTGTGTAAAATATACCCTAGAACAGAGTGTGAAAACAGTCTTAGCTAAACATGTATTATAATAATGATCATTATAAACAAATAAATAAATGAATTAATAATAAAACTAATTTTAAATAATTTAAATCATTGTAATTATTGTACTGTGTTGCAACATTACTGTAGTAGTAGTAATATGTGAATCTGAGCTTTGTATTATTGAGCAGCTTCAACTTCAAATATTACTGCGCAGTCTTTTGAATCACAGATTTATCTAATCACTTTCTGTAGATAAATGTTTACTTTGAAGCCATAATGTGATTGACCGGTCTGTGGATCAAAGGACAGAAGAGGACAGGGCCAAGTAGTGATCAATATGGCTCTTGTGTGGCTTTATTTTTTGGACTGAAATCAGCCAGAAATGAATGCAAGATGGCATGGGCTGTTTCTCTGTTGGTTTACCTGAACAAGGTGGCTTTGGGGCGGGCCTGTGTGGGTGGATCCCTGCCCTGAGGTGGGGGCGGAGCCTTAGAGACCTCTCTACAAATATTCCTGGCAGTGAACACCAGCCAAAGCATGGTGGAGAGAGAGGAGTAGTGCAAGATGATGCCAACCTGGGAGAAGAACACACAAAGACAGTGAACACAAGCGCAGCCAGGCCGGGCACTGAGGTGAGTGTGTAATCGCAGTGCAGCTCAGTGGTGAGCGGATGGCCTCTTCTGAATGCAGGAGAACGTGCGGAGTGCTGCTTGCTGAAGGGGAAGAGAGCACCCAGGTGCACTGTGTGGAGTGGTTGAAGTAATCCTCCTCAGACAGCTGGGCCATGCAGGTGTCCTCCTCGCCTCTGCGAACACAGCACTAAAGCCGGCAAGTTCACCAATCTTACACACATACAAGAATGCTGGTGGCTGCCAGCACACAATAAACACAACTATGCTCAAAAAAATGTGCGCATGCAGAGACTACTGTTCAAAAGTTTGGAATTACTTGTCATATTAATAATTGTTGTTATTTTATTTGCTTAGAACTTAATGAATGCAATGCAAATTGAAACACATAACCTACATATAAGAAGGTATTTTTATAATAATAAGTAATTTCATCCATCCATCCATCATCTAAACCGCTTATCCTTCTGGGTCGCGGTGGGGTGCTGGAGCCTATCCCAGCTGTCATTGGGCGGAAAAGAAGTAATTTATTTTTAGTAATTTCTTATGAAGTTGTCTGCCTCGAGATTTGTGCACCACTTATAAAATGCGATGCATTCTTCATCTATTATAACTTCATTCTCAATGTTATACAGCTTTCTCAATTATTTAACATTCATCTATACCTTCACTCATCTGGATACATCCAAATTTCTCTACTAATTATTTGAAACATATGTTAAAGAGCACTAGTATTATTTAGTAATTTCAAACATTTATCTGCAAAACTGGTTTCACATTATTGAAAATACTAATTCTAAACTTTTGAACAGTGTTTTTAAACACATACATACAAAACAGAACAATGTACAAAGTCACTAAGGCCTGGTTTAAAATCTTTTTTAAAACAAAAAGCTAAAAATAACTCAGCTGTCATTAGCTGCACAAACATATACAATTACTGCACAACTGACGCAAACATGCTACCAAATTAGTCTGATTCAGTAATGTGCACTGCAACCAGTGCGTACTGAAGAACACAGCTTGCATTATGGAAACAATCCCCCCAACCTTAATGCATTATCCTCTCACTGCTCAGCCGCTCAGGCAGTGGGGGGACAGAGTGGCTTGGTAAACAGTAGCAAAGCCAACTGAAAAGTCAAAGAGGCCATATGATAGTGACCCTGTGCTTGAAGCTGGGGACACAGGGCACGGATGATGCAGTGGGATGACTGAGTCATGGAGCCGGGGTGATTAGAGCAGGAGGAGCCTCACCACTTGGCAGACGACAGGGTACTTGATCTGGTTGATGCCTCCTGCAAACACCCCGAACGTCACGGCTGTGTGGAAGAGGAAGTTCAGGAGCATGTGCCATCCCTTCCTGCTGATTCGGATAACGCTTCACCCACAAATGAACAAGAAAGAAGTTAATCCCTAAGGGCCCCTTAAGTGGTCCTACACTTCATTTGACCTATTTGTGCTCTGCCCACAAATGCATTCTTTCATAACAACAAGGTTATGCAAGGTTAGACAAGCTCTAAAGAACACACAGGCAAAAATCCCATTCAACTAGGCATGAACTGAAATTTCAGCCACATAAGATTTTGTGGCAAAAGATAAATAGGCCTACAATAAAGTTTCAAAACCACTTCATACAAATACGCTATATACAAATAATTTAAGTGGCAATGAAAATGAGAAATAGCGATTAAAAGCACTGTTTGTGTCCTTCGCTCCTCTGTGCTGGTCGGCACAGACAGACATGTTTAAACAGTTTGGGCAGCAGCAGATTAATAATGCGTTCTGTATGGCTTACCTGCTTTATTTTAGCATTATTTGATTTAATGAAATCATTTATTTATAATTAACTCAAATAATATTGAGTAACTCAATATCTTTTGGTAAGAAACTTTTTTTACCCCTTCATTTTTTAAAAGTTGCAACTGCAAACACATCACCTCTGGGGTCTATGGCTTTTTCCTCTTAAGACGACAATCACCAAAGCAATGTGTGTGTTAATCGCACCTCCTGTTTGTGAAACTTCAGTCTGTGAGACGGGAGTTTCATAGACTCATCTATGTGCTTTAAATTTTAAAAAACGATCCATTGTTTTAGCGGTTGAGCTCTGGAATTCAGCTTTATAGCTTTTACAGTTTCATCATTAAGCTGGAAACACAACATTATGTAGTGAATCCCTAAACTAAATTAATTAGGTTGAACAGGATTAACACTCTGTGATGTAGTTATGGAATAATTCAAACTGTACTGTCAATCCTTCTTATCACAGCCATGTGTTGAAAGATAAACAAAATACAGTTCCTGAATCACAGTGTTACATTCATAACTGATGGTCTCCAGATTAATAACTCCATAATAAGTCTAGGGTTTGTGGGCTGCTGAGGAACTGTAGGCTTCTCAGCACAATGTCACGACTAAAGACTGTTTGTTGTCCTGGAGTAAAAGTGCAGTTCAGACAGGGCTGTTGGGCTCTAGCAAACCAAACTTGGCATTGGCCCTTTCAGGGTGGCAGTAGGCCCCCTCTCCTTGCAGCAAATGTTACTCACAGGGCTCAGCTGTGACAGCCAGGGCCATGAAACTATAAACATTAGTAATGTGACTCAGGGAGAATATTGCACCATGACAGTCTGACCCAAAAAATCGCCCCACTGAGGCTGTCCTCTGCGAGCAACTGTGTTTGAAATGCTGCAGTCATTTAGCGGCAAAGACAATCTCCAGCAATTTGGCAACAAAAAGCATAATACAGCAAAGAAAAGCTCATTTGCAATTAAAATAACTGGGAAAAACTATCGTTAACCTCTTAAAGGGAAATTCCACCAATTTTTAAAATGCATTATGAAATGGTTAAGATGTACACAATGTGAAATGCTCTGTTCCAGAGAAAATTACAGATCCAGAACTGTTCACAGTGGTGGTGATAGGAACCAGATGTCATAGGAGTTTAATGCCTCTTAAAGCTCTCACATGAAGTTACTACATGAAATTATTACAAATATGCTGCCTGATGTCTGAGACAATGTTTCACATTAGTTTTGAGATAACGTTTTGGACTAAAATGTTTTTTCAATCCATTCATGGCAGAGGGGTACATCCAAGGTGCTGCAAGGCAAAAATCCCCTAAGGAATAGGTTTTTCCAGGTATTCCCCTTTTTACCATTATGGTATGGTTCGTATCACCACCACTAAAAAGAAATCTGTAAGTTTCTCTACAATAAACCATTTCCCATCAGACCACTCTGATGACTTTGTTTACATCTCAGCACCTGAATTATGCAGAAATTTGGAAAAACTGGTTGCATTTTCCTTTGAACAGCATGGGCCTTTACACTGGCCTCCAGATCTTCAATCTTAAAACTACATCTTACAACTTTTTACAAATTATTTCACAGAATAATTTATCCCTTTGTTGCAGTTTATGGCACTAGTCTAATCCTTAAATGTTGAGTAATCTCTTTCATTTTGTTATACTATTTAAATACATATTTAATTGCATAGTCAGTTACAGAATGAATTATGTTTACAATTCAAAAATGCTGGCATATAGGATAACAATACTGCATGCACAGCAATAATGTGTATCAAATTCAAATCATTATGAAATATATTCTCTTCCTTTTGTGACCACAAATGTGGTGTCGACAAACATAGTTTAGAGAGTTTAGAATATGCAATAGGACAAATGTTCTCAGCTCAATTCAGTGAGCCACAAGCGAGAAATAATTAGTACCTAATTATACCACATTTTGTTAATGCTGGCAATAACTATGACTTTGTCAAGACTTTAACCTTGATGAGAAAATTATGGTTTTCTAAGGGTGCTAACCTTGCAATTAGCACAGAGGGTTATGGGCTACATGCTACAAAGTAACATTAAACACATACCTGTGGTGTATAATATACGTCATTATTGATATCAGCAGGCAGAGCAGCATAACTGCTGTGCACGCATACACAACTGGGTGCAGGTAGTCCCCTGGATATGGAGGGAAGGAGAGCACCCTCTTCAAATCCTGCAAAACAACAAAAGGAATCATAAAAAGTCAGTTAAAAATAAAAAAGTACATACTTACAAAAGGGAGAAAGAGAGAGGCTGAGAGAACAACACGACATACAGAAAAAGTGGAAGAAATTGATAGAGAGAGGAAGCTTTGTCCCTGTGAGGCAAAAGACTACACCCACACACATACATATCATTCTCCCCCAGCGTGTCTATTTTATCACCCAGCCTAAAGATTCTCCTTTGTTGCCTAACTGAGAGGCTCAATCCCCTCTGGTACTCAGTATCTCTCTCTCTCTTTCCTTTTTTTTTCCTTCTCTCCCTCCTCCTCTATCTAAATACACCAAAGTTACCCTCTAAGTATTACAAAAACAGCACTGTGAAATCCTGACAGTCTCTTCTGCAATATCAGAGTGATATATCTCCAGCCTACTGACCACACCTCTTTCCCTTTGCACTGTGAATTCTGTGTGCATGGTGAGTCATCCAGGTGACAGACAGCTACAGGAAAGCAAGACTACTGGACAGGAACGGCTTATTTCAGTAAGTGCAAAAGAAATATACTTTCGTTGCCGGATACCTATTATCCAGTAATTAGCAGTAGCTGTTCTTGGCATAGGCAACATAGGCAACTCACTAGGGGTGGAAACTTTCCAGGGGCAGCATCAGGAAACATAAAGTCATTCTGTATTTAAGTGCTCACCACCCCCTGCCCCATCAAACCACGCTGCTTATTGGTTGCCTGCTGTCACCTCCATTCGCAACTACTGAGCTGAAAGTCACGTATTGACCATTTGCAAAATAACGACTGCCATAACTCTCAAGCAATCACTGCTTAGCAACAATCTCTAAGCTGTACTACCTCCGTCAATCAGAGTAAAAACTCTGCAGTAAAAATGACGGTGGTAGTAAACTAGCCAGAAGTAAAAAAAAATAGTGCTGAGGAATTCTGACACTATCTTGATCATCTGGTGGCTCTGGTGCTTTCTGGTGATTCCTGAACATTTTTGGAAGTTTAGGGGAATCCAACTCACAGTTTTAATGTAAGCTAAACTTTATTTAGGTTACTATATTTAGTAAGGCTTATTTTAGCAAAGATGATAAATTACGTTAACCCCTTAACATTCCAGGTTTATTTCATACTAAGGCTTAGTATTCAGTAACTACAGGGACTTCAATGTAAATTAATGGAGCTACTATTAGGTTATAGATGTGTGTAATAAAACTTCGGCTTGTTAAGGAGTTAAAGAAACATAAAGGTCGTTAGCTAGCTAAGTTCACCTTTCTTAACATTATTTTAAGTCAGTTAGTTTGATAAATTAGTCAGATTAAACAGGACTGTACACTTCACACTTGTGAATATAACCCTATGATTGAGGTTTCCTAAAAGACTTTGTGTAAAAGACGACAAGCCCTCCATACTATGTAATGCTGCACTGATCAGTTAGCTCACATCAGCTTTAGTATTATCTCATCTGAAGGGGCAGCATCTGTCAAATTAAGCACAAATTATATCATCTGTCATCATTATGTACTGACTTCTGTAATTTAATCAAAATGTAACAACCTCCTCATGACCAAAAATACTCTGCATAAAGCAAAAACACTCTGATACAGTTTTTCACTTTTACTGTTGAGATCTGAGATTTACGCAGCAGAGAGTGGGAAATTTGGATTTGGAGGTGAAATTAATAAATAGGTTTTCTGTTCTTTTTCAGTCTAGGCAAATCAGTAAAATTTATTGTTCATGGTAATCAGCCACACAACACAGACACAGCAGATAAAAATTAGGTTGAAAAACACTTGAATATTACTGTAAGTGGTTACTTACACATATATGTACCGCAGTGGGGTGGGGGGGGCTGTTTTTGTTGAAAGTATTTGTTATGGTCACTCAGTTCACCAAAACTCAGAAATGTGCAATGGTGGGCATATAAATCTTTTCAAGTATTAGAATGAATTTTGACATTCTAGTATGAATAATGCGCAAGAACTGCCAAGATAGACAAGCTGAGAACAAGTATCAAGTTAACTTCCACCAAAGCCCAGGGCTGGAGCTCACAGCAGAAGCCATCACATGCTTCAAACCTCAGATGAGATCTCTCACAACTACTCATTATCTCATGACATCCACCACCCACTAAAGCTTGAATACTTGCTAACAACCTCTCCACATTATCTGCTGTTATTTTCATATGCTTATTTACATATCGTGAACGCTGTTTTAATCCTGATTTGTAATGCAGTGGGGAAAGTAACTATACACATGAGCAAAGGGATAGTAAAAGAATAAAACTACTAGCCTTAGGTTACTTTCTCATGCTTAATTTGTCAAGCTGAAGTCCCTGATCTACATTATTGCAGAGACAAGTACTGTACACTATGCATGATCTATGCGCTTCTTTGCCATCATGACCAAGAGAGAGTGTTTGATGTGGGGCAATTTTCTGCAGAGCAGAGAGAAGGGGGCTGGGAAATGAAAGCTCTGATGAATTGTAGAAAAAGAAAACCCTTTTTCAACTACTTACAACAAGGCAATTCTAAAACATTGTTTAACATCATATATCTGATGTTTAAAATTTAAAATTTGGACTAAATCAATCACTGATTTGGTTTCCTAAAAGGAAGATATATTGTCATCTAAGGATTCCTAAGGATTGCCTCACAATCCTGGATAAATCTGACAGGATTTGACAGGATTCTAGTGACACTGACGTCTAGGTTTGTTCTGTCCTTTTTCAGAGGCATCACAAATTCTATAAACATCAGTGATATAGGTCCTGACATGGCTCAAACCCCGGCCACACTAAATTCTTCAAAATGTATGTCGTGTTGTTCCTAAATGATTCCGGGCTCGGGCATACAGTTCTAGGAAAAACCTTTAATTGTATAGAACCTATACATTATGTGGAGGTCCTTCACAATCGATCAGCTTGTTTACAAAAATTAACCATTCATTGAAAGGCTCAAAAGTGGTTCCTTTGTGGCACCTTTATTTTTAATTATTGTATGATGCTAAAAAAGTCAACCTGGACACTGACTTATCAATGACATAACTACACAAACCACACAACTACAGCTGTAATAATACATACAGTACTGCGCAAATTTAGAGGCCACCCTTCATTTATTTAATTTAAAGAAGGGGAAAGTCAAAATTAAACAAGTGAAAAAAACGGAGTTTGAACTGGAGTTCAAAAATTATTCAACAATATAGAGAAATTGGGACTGCTAACAATCATGCAAGTCCTGGTAGACCACAAAACTGTCCTCATCAGATAAACAGCTCCTAAAGCTTTTATCTCTGAGAGAAAAGCTCCACTCTTGCTTTAGATCTAAAAAAATCCACCGGTGTTTGTGTCCATCCTTCCACTGTGAGAAGACAACTCAACACTATGGGTTTGAAAGTTGGTAGCTGTCAAGGAGGAAAAAGGAAAAGTATTATTGTGATGGTCTGCACCAAACAAGGGAATTCCATGTCAGAGCATGGTTTTCTGCTTCTTCTAACAGTCAGTGCTGTATCTGCCTGTTTTAATGTCTGACATTTGACAATCATATTGTTTTTGTAGCATATATACATATAAATATTTTTTTCCGTATAAATATTTTTTTATATTTTCTATTTTTTTCTAAAACTATATTTGGTGAATGGAGGAACAGCAAAGTAAGAATTTCATTGTACAGTGTAACTGCCTGTTTCTGCTGTGCATATGACAATAAAACTCTTGAATCATGTATTGCTGTTAATAATGACAGACAAGCAATAACATAATAGAGAAGTAATTGCTTTTAATTATGGCACATGGACCGGGAATGTATTGCATCAGCCACCTGATTGGTTACATTCAAACTGACAGACAAATCATAAAGAAGCAGATAAGAAGTAAGATTTATTATTATTGCTTTGACTGTGATACACAGACTTTAAGCATCTCTAGGTTCATACAAAGTTGGAGTTTTTTTGGCTCAAATGGTGGCAGCTGTGAGAGTAAGGGTGCCTACACACTAGAGGCTGACGCAGCATCAGAAACGCAGCCCTCCAATGTATTTCAGTTAGGACGCTGCATCAGCTGTCAGACTAGAAACGTGTCTGTATGCAGTGAAAGACGCATCATTGAGCGTCGAAAAAGTTCAAACCATTTCAACTTCTGCTGCAACGCATTCTGACGTGAAGGCACAGCCAATAGAAACATGCAGGCAGAAGACGGATGAAAATCCAAGATGGAGGACAGTAGTGATGCCATGTACTCTTTTCCTGTTCTATATGAATTCTTTGCCTTCGTGGCTGTTGTCTGCTTGGCTCTGTACATGGCCATCGCCATAATTTTCTTTCGGTGGCCCATGTTTCTTTGTTCCTGGTCCAAATGTTTTGTTCCCGCTGGATTTCAAACTGTACAAACTCTGCCCCGCTCCAGCCGTGTACACACCTTCTAGACGGACAAGATCTGCATGCGTCTGCATCTACCACACCGTCCTTGTGTTGTCTAGTGTGTAGACACCCTAACCCTGCAAAATTTCCGACCAATAAAAAAAGCATTCATAGGTATAATTTGGTGCACTTCAGGCGTTATAGTGTGAACCCAGTTGAACCACATGAAAAAGTACAATGTCACAAAAACCCAAACTCTAGTACAGACTTCAGCAAAAAAACTAGGTGTGAAAACTGCCTAAGACTGAACTTTGGAGGTGTTAAAAAGTATTCCTTCAAATTCCTTTCAAAAACTGAAAGCAAGTCTTCTGTAAAAAATGGAAGCTGTGAAGTGGCAAAGGGAGGACACACTAAATACTAAAAAAATGACGTTATATTTAGTTGTTGAAACTTTTGTGTAATGACAAATACACGTTTTCTGCTAAATGTTTTGCTTTTTCTCCTGACACCGAAAAATTTATCATTTATACTTAATGGCCATTTTGACTGGAAATTAAATAAATGAATGGTAGTCTCTGACTTTTGCCCAGTGCTGTATGTAAATTGTTATTTGACAGCTTTCAGTATGAGGCTTAATATAAATC